GGGGAAATAATTCAAGTCCGACTGTGACAGGTGGAGGCGTGTGATGGAGAGAGTCGCCAAGGGGTTCCTCAGGCACCTATGGGTAGACAATGGGATTGGTTCAGACAAAAGGTTCTGGAGAGGGTGTATACTGGGATTTAAGAAGAGGAAGATGGGGCACGTGTCTCAAGGTCAGTTTGACTATATGAACAATCAGAGTACCAGGGTGCTGCCTCTTGGAGTCTACTAAATCAAGTCACACCCACAACTCTCACCATAATTGTTCCCAGTCACTGGCAGGCCCCATGCACAGTGAACTGGAAAGGTTTGCTCTGGTAGCTAAGCCACCTCCCCATCCTTGCTTACCAGAGTATTTGTTTCATGTGGTCTTTGAGAAAGAAGATGCCATTCATGGAGAGATGCTGCACACAGTGGAGTTTGGAGAACTGAGCAATGACCTTGCTGATGCACCTCTCTTCTCTGTCTGCTGTCCTGGTTCCAGTCCTGAAAGTGTTCCTACAGATGCGGGCCAGGGAGAATTTGCGAAGACTCCGCATCTGTCCAAGGCAGGGAGCAAATCGTGCCAGTGTGGACACATCCCACCCCGTGTTCAGTTCCAGCTCCTCAATGCGTCCTGGGTGGAAAACACTCAAGATCTCTTTGACAGTGCACATAGGCACAGTCCAGATCTTCATGTTTATACAGTGCAGCTGTAGAAAGTCTTTTCTCTGCTGGACCCACTGCAAGAAGCATGTTTGCTCTTCATTCAGACGGAGCCTGAGGCAGAGGTCAGTTACCACCTTCAGATGCCGCCACCTCAGTGCATATCTGGGAAGGACCTTCACTACAGGCCTCTCATCCACAGTCTCTGCTGAACAGGCCCCATCCTCTCTTCCAGTCCATATGTTCCAGAACTCATGGTGAACATTCCTCAGGTCGAGCACCTGAAGTTTCTCGCTCCTGTGGATAAAACGTGTAAAGTGTCAGCAGACATGACAGGCCCCAACACCCAGCAAGTTTCCACTACACATCTCTAATGTCATCTCTTTCCTCCTGCCAAGGTCTCTTCAGCACCAAGTGTCCAACGTAGCAACTCATGTGTGTCATGGCCTCTCCCCGTAAGCAGCATGTGTACAGCTGACTGCTTTCCTTCCACTAAGTTACTCTCCATTTCTACCTAGTCCCATGTTAGTGGTTGTTGGAAAGCCAGGGATAGGCTCCTTCCTCTCTGGCTACCTCTACTCTGTTCTCTAATCCATACTCAACCGTCCTTACTACAGGAAACAATAGGTTTCAAGGCCCCTGCATTCCAGCACCATGACCCCATCAGAAGCCTCTGAACCACCTACAAAGCCATTCTCCCTGACCCACGGTCTCTCCCACGGACCCCTTGTGCTCAGTCTACAGTACTTGTTTGTTGCTTACCCGGGGTGAAACACTCTTTTCAGATGCATGTCTACTGCATCGAGCACAGCCTGGAAGATTTCCAAGTTGGGAGTCTTCATCAACGTCCCCACAGGGAGACAGGGGAAAGGCCAGGCTGCCACCATTGCCTTCACAATCCTAGTGTGTCTGCCATTGAAGGCGTCCTTGAACAGTGCTGGGAAGAGTGTCCAGG